CTCACCTAGAAAAAGAAAGAGAGACAACTTTATTAGTGACAAGAGAACACACGGTGATCACAAAAGCAGTGCACCTCGGGACACATCTAAGCAGCGATAATTCAGACTTTGTCTACTCCGAGAGAACCGTCCCATAGAGGAGGTGTATAATTATTAATACATTTACCACTTGGCGATTGCAATCGAGTAATAAATATCGAGTGTCTTGCCCACACAGCGCTGAGCCCGACCCGCTTGTCTCTTTCTTCATGCGGCCAGTGTGCCTGTCTGTCTGTCTGTCTGTATGCCTGTCCGTCTGTCCGCCGCTCGCAGTGCGATCTAGCGCAGAAAAAGGCACACCCCAAGGCCAACGCGGCCCATACCTTCCAACGAGGAGCAGATGGCTGCCTTTGATAACAACCGCTTCAAAAAAAAAAATATGGCAACTCGTGAATACTGCTCAGAGCGATTTCTAAGCGAGCGTCTGAGCGGCACCGGCAGTCGATGCGGTCGGCGTGTGGCTCATTGGGCACGCCACTGCAAGTCACCCTCGGCTGCACAAGTTGCGGCCGTGCCGTGCCGTGCCGTGCCGTGCCGTGCCGTGGTGCCCCGTGCCGGGGCCGGCCGTGCCGTGCCGGCGTGCCGTGCCGTGCCGTGCCGTGCCGTGCCGTGCCTTTGGCCGTGCCGTGCCGTGCCGTGCCGTGCCGTGCCGTGCCGAGGCCGTGCCGTGCCGTGCCGTGCCGGCCGTGCCGTGCCGTGCCGTGCCGTGCCGTGCCGTGCCGTGCCGTGCCGTGCCGTGCCGTGCCGTGCCGTGCCGTGCCGTGCCGTGCCGTGCCGTGCCGTGCCGTGCCGTGCCGTGCCGTGCCGGCCGTGCCGTGCCGTGCCGTGCCGTGCCGTGCCGTGCCGTGCCGTGCCGTGCCGTGCCGTGCCGGCCGTGCCGTGCCGTGCCGGGCCGTGCCGTGCCGTGCCGTGCCGGGCCGTGCCGTGCCGTGCCGTGCCGTGCCGTGCCGGGCCGTGCAGCAACACGGCGCGCGACACGCAGCGCGCGATGTGCGCGGAGTGTGCACTGCAATAACGCAAGGCTTCCCACGCGTGCGAGAGTGCGAGGGCAAGTTCACTGGCCCGGCGCAGGCTGAGCGGCCGAACGAACAGTGCTTTCCGTTGCTCTGTCTCTGTCTCTCTCGCAGCCCTACGGGCCGCCCCTGGAGTGCGAGAGAGACGGGGCGGCGAGAGCACACTGTTCGGCCCCAGCCTGCAGCAGCGCAGCAGCCAGCCACTCCGCCGGGGGCGTTACCGCTCGTAAAAGCCAACAAGTCGCGCACGTGTTCCAAATCTGGGCACGGCGGTGCGCGGCGCGGCGCGGTGCGCGGGCGGGCCGACTCCTCGCCCGGAAACGCTCAACGCCCGTCGTTTGTTTGCGTGTCGCCGTCTTCGCCGTCGTAAACTTTTGCGCGCTGCGATGCGCCGCGTCGCGGCCGCGAGGTCGCGTGAGGCCGCGCGACGGCACGCCGGCGTGACACCTGTCGAGCCCAAACGGCCCGGGGCAAACGGCGCGCCAGCGGGCGCGGCCCTTGGCCCTAGGCGCGGACAGAGATTCCGAACAGGGCCTCTCGCGTCTCTCTCGCACTCGAGTGACGCACCGGGTGGCGCGAGAGAGACAGAGCGACGGGGCGCGCTGCTCGGAAAGAAACTGCTGCGAGGCACACTGTGGGCACACGCCACCGTGACGCCGGTGAGCGCGCGGAATTTCCATGCGGGCACCGGGGAGGTGTGATCCTGCTGGCCCGCCCCGCCCCGCCCGCCCCGCCCCGCCCCGCCCCGCCCGCCCCGCCCCGCCCCCCACACCGGAAGCGATCCGGGGCACAATGGGTGGTGCACGGCGCATCGGATGCGATCGGTGCATGCGTTGGCTGCACCGCGACGGAGAGGGAAGCAACGCACAGCCCAAGTCAACGAGAAAAATCACAAACGTGGAAAAAAATAAAACAAAATTAGATCAATTTTCTCTTGAAAATTGTTCCAAATTTGACGAGGGCGAGTGCAAACGTTTCAGAAGTGCCCCTCCCCTCGATAGGATTGCGCGGCCCGCTGCACCGGGCGCTCGTCCCGACACGCACCCATTTCGCCGATTTTTCAGGGACGGCGCGCAAGGCAAGGCCGCGCAAGCCGCCGAAACCCCGACGCCGCCGGGCCGGCGGAGCGCTGTGGGGAAATTGGAGATGTTGCGCGGCCCGCGGACTGACTCCGAGTGGGGTTCTCCGTCTCTGTCACACTCGTCGGGCATCCCGTGGGGTGCGAGAGAGACAGGGCCTGGCGCCGTGTCCAAGTTCAAGGCGGCGAGGCGGCAAGGCGGGAGGCGCGGCACGGCGGGCAGGGGCCGACGGGCACGCGAGTCCATCCAGTCCATCACGCCGCGAAGAGCGCGTTAGGCCGCGTTAGGCCGCGGGCCAGTCGAGCCATCCGAAGAGACGAGCTGTCTCTGTCGCACACCAACGGAACGCCCCACGAGTGCGACAGAGACAGAGCGACGAAACGACTCGTCCGAATGAGCTAGGTACCTCTTCATCCTCCACGCGACCTTGGCGGGGAGAGGCAAGAGGAGCTAGCGCCCGGTTCAAAGGCGATTGAGTCAGCACTCTTCTAATAAGGAATGAGAAAAACGGAAAACGATGGAGTGTGGTTCCCGATAGAGGCTGTCCGGTCGGGTCGTGGGACTGGAGCACTGGAGTCTCCAGGCCTCCAGGCCTCCAGGCCGAGCCGCTGGAATGCACCAGACTAATGCCTGGCCCCGGGCAACGAGCTGAATGAGTCCACAGCGGAGGAGGGCCGGATGAGCCGGCCGGACAGACGGACAGACAGACAGCGGAAGTGGAAGGTTTTTCTTTAAAAATCTCTTTCTACCCGTCTCTATCTCGGCAGTGCTGGCTTGCCGTGCTGCATCGACTCAGCGCGTGCGGCGTGGCCGAGGCGCGCGCCGCAGCCCTGGCCTGCATGTTCTGCACGGCCTGCATCGGCCGCCGCATTGTGTTCCAGGAATGGCGCTCGGCGCGGCCATCGGCTGCCACCGGCTCAGACGGACGGCGGCGGCCTCACGCTCGGAGGCCGCGGGGCGCGCCTCGCCTCGCCGGACCCCTGCCATCGGCGAGGTAGGCAGCCCGCCGAGGCGGCGCCCTGCGCGGGTGGCCTAGCCGGGCCGTGGCGGGGGCTCTGGCCGGGGGAAGGGAGGGGGGCGATCGCCGGGCCCCATTGACGGAGAGGATCAAGGCGGTGACCTCAGCCGCCTCAGCCAGTCCCTCAAGTCCCTCATCCCGGAGCCCGTCAATCCGACAAGGACCGCGGCGCGACCTTGGAGGCCGTGCCCGCCGTGCCGCGCCACAGCTGCCGGCGGCGCGTCAGGAACACGCCATAGAAGAACGCGGCGCTGCATATGCCCCGCGACCCGAATAGCAAACAGACGCCCGGGCCGCGCCGCCCCGCCCGAAGGCAGCCGGCTAAACCGCAAGCAGCCGCGCTAGAGTCCTATAGTGGAGGCGCCAGCCAGGCCGCACAAAGCGCTCATTGTACCGGCGCGGCGCGTGTAGCGAGTAGCGCGTGCTGCGGGCCGCTCTAGTGGCGGCACGGCACGGCACGGCACGGGCGCGGCGTGTTGACTGCGTTGACCACGAGGCGCGGTTCACGCCTCCAAGTCTCCAAGCAGCGAGCCTGGTCGTAAAACGGACCAAAACTCACACCGGCAGGCGAGGCGCGAACGCTGCGGAGGCAAGGTGGCGGCGACGATGGAGCGCGAGGGGTATCGCCGCGCCGGCCCACACCGCGGCCGCGCCACACCACACCCCACGGGAACGGCGCGGCGCGGCGATACCCCTCGCCGCGGAGACGCCGACCGCGCTACCCCTTGCACTGCCTGCCCTGCCCGGCCCTGTCGCACCCATGCGCGTTGACAGTGTGAAAGAGTGGGGTCTAAAGATCACTAGGACGTTGAGGTAGGTCTTTGCGACCACAGCCAGATTGGACGCAGTCAACGCCCAAAGTCACCAAAAATCGCTACTTTCAGAGATTTAATCACTTATTGACCAATTTTGCGAGGGCTCTGCTCCCAAACCAGTCGTGGCACTCGCATTCCTGAAGCAGGAAGAAGGGTCTCAAGAATACTGAGACGCTGAAGGAGGTTCAAGGAGCTTGATTGGACGCAGTGGCTGTCCAAAGGCAACACTATTGGAATTTTCGACATATTCGACAACTTGTCGATTCGTATGCGGGTGAAATTGCAGCGAGGCGGTACAAACGATGCGCCCTGCGAGGCACACTGTTATGCCAAATCAGGCCCGAGGCACGTCGGCGCTGGGTAGCAGACACATCATCAACGCCGTGCTCCACGCGTCGTCAAACAGACGGGGGAGCTGGCGGAGAGTCGCGGAGAGTGAGGAGACAGCGCGCTGTGGTGAGGAGAGGGGATGACAAGGGAAGGAGAGCGCCCGCCGGCTCGGAGAGCACGTCCCACTCGAGGTGCTGCAGGCCGCCCTCCACGAGGGGCGTCGTCGCGCACCGCGGTTGGGCGGGTCGAGTGGCGACCGAGGACTCGGCTCCGCGCCCCGCGCACCGAGTGCCACGTCGCGACGCCACTTCACGACGAGGCTGAGGACGGGTATCGGGTGACTCCACCGCACAGCCAACTCAGCCCTCGGTGAGGACTCTCCGCAGCAAAGGGCGTGCGAGGTGTGTTTTGGGGAAGAGCCTTTCTCTCGGAAAGAACCTCGCAGCAATACCAAGTGGCTGAATAAACTGAGGCGTGTCCGACGCGCCAACTCGTATTCCGAACGCGTTACGCGAGAGGCACGAAGCAAACCCCGCACACACGAACACACGGACGCAGTGCGAAGGGACGGCGTGGGACACGGCGCCGCCGTGTTTTGCATTCGCAACGCGGATTCCGCACGACGTCGCCGTGGAATCGGACGCAAAGGAGATGTGTGACCGGGGCGAGAACGAGGACGACGACTGCCTTCCCGGGGACTACTCACGTTTGTGGACAGCTGGCTGGTGAGGGTGTGGACCTTCTCCTGCGCCTCGCCCAGCTCCTTGCGCAGCTTGCGGATCTCGTGGGCCTGCTTCTCCTCCGGGGTGCTGTACAGCGAGGACGCCGTGGACACCAGGCTCACCGAAGACCCGTGCACTGCAAGGGAAAATGATAATATTATTTTCAACGGGAAAAAAAGCTGTGAATTTCAGTGTACCGCGTGATGAGTGGCCTGCTTGTCAGACTTACCGTCGTCGTCCTTGTTGTTGATCTTCATCATGCCCGAGTACGGCGACATGCTGTTGCGGCTGATGCCGTGGCTCGACGCCGACGAGGAGATGGAGGACATGCCCGGGTAGTTGAACCTGCCGCCGGGAAAGAAGTGATAAGAGCAACCCGTGCGGAGCGCATCGTCGAGGCCAAGGCCACCGAGACAGCCGCCTGTCCGTACCTGGACGCGCCCTGCGCGAGCTGGCCCGCGGTGGGGCTGGTGGGCTGCGACGAGTGGTGGTGCGGCATGGGCTGCAGCCCCGACATGCCCTGCAGCCCCGGCAGGCCGCTCATGCTGGCGCTCGAGCCCAGCCCGCCCAGCCCCGTGGAGCTCAGCATGTCCTGGTACATCTTCTCGGACTTGGTGGAGCGGATGCTGTTGCTGCGGTTGAGGCGCGCCGACTGCAGCCGCGGGTGCGTGAGGCTGGCGCGGTGCTGCTGCAGCGCGGGCAGCGAGCTCAGCGACTCCATGCTGTCCGCCTCGGACATGCCGGCTGCGGAGAAACGACGTCAGGCACCGTGCACAACACTGCAACGTTCAACGTGAACCAGTCCCTGGGGCTGCAGACTCACCTTCGTACTTGTTGGAGCGCGTGGGCAGCGAGGCGGTGTAGGCCGTGGCCGAGGTGCTGCCGCCGTGCGCGCTGTGCCGCAGCCACGAGCCGTAGGGGCTGTTGTTGTAGTACGCGTCCGTGTAGTTGGAGTCGGACAGCGAGCCGTCGCTGGGCCGGTACGGCCGGTGCGGCAGCGTGTACTCGTGGGCCGCGCTGGCGCCCGACGCGTTCCTGGGCAGCGAGTGCGACCCCTGCATCAGGCGGTCGCGCACGCTCTGCGACAGCTGGCTGGCGGCGGGGCCCGTCAGCGAGTACGACTTGTAGTCGCTGGTGCAGGTCTGCGTGCCGCCGGACACCTTGAGCTTGGTGCGCGGCACGGCGGACACCTGCGCCGTCCGCGCCTCGCCCTTGCCGCCGCCCGGCCCCGCGCTCGTGGGCCGCTTCACGTAGCCGAAGCTGGGCGGCACGCCGCGCACCTTGCCCTTGCCGCCGCCACCGCCCCCGGGCACCCCCTGCACGCCGTGGCCGCCGTGGCCCGGCGGGCTGGGCGGCGCGGGGGCGGGCGGCGGCGGGTGGTTGGGCGGCGAGCCGGGGTGGCCGTTGCCGCGGTGCTCCATCCTGGAGCCGTCCGCCCTCACGAGCCCCTCCTCCTTGCCGGCCCCTGAAAGCAAAGCGACGCCTCAGTCAGGCCCGCGTCGTGGCGGCGTTACGTGATACTTGCACGTCCCCGGCACGCAAGTCTCTACTCACCCGTGCCCCTCTTCTGGCGCTGGTCGCGCTCCGCGCCGTGGCCGCCATTGCTCTTGCGGGGCAGTCCGTTGCCGTTGGCGGCGACCTGGAGCCCGTTGTGGACGCCGTTGTGGACGCCGTTGTGGGGCCCGTTGAGGGGCGCCGCGCTCGCTCCGGGGGCGGTCCTCCTGTCGCCGCCCCCAGCGCCACTGCCGCCCCCGGGCGCGGCCCCCGCGGCCCCCGCGACGTGCCTCGAGTGGTCCCGCGGGTGCTCGCGCTCTCTCAGCCCGTCCGCGTCTCCCTTGGGCCGCAGCAGCTCCGGCACGCGGTCCCCCTCCACGAACTTCTTCCACTGAACGTTCGAAATTTGCCTGCAAAGCGAAACCGAAATAGAGTGCGCATCCAGAGCGCGCGGGTGCGTTCTAAAGGCTGAAGGCCAGCGCGACCACGGTGTGGCGACGTACCGGAAGCCGCCGTTGTCCGTCTGCTGGCCGCTGTCGGTCTTCTTGACGTGCGCACGGGATCCCACCACGCGGTACACGACCTGCGGGCCGCCCCCATGCTGCTGCTGTGGCTGCTGCAGGGTTTGCTGCAGGTTTTGCTGCTGGTGTTGTGCCTGCTGCTGCAGGTGTTGCTGTTGTTGCTGGTGTTGTTGCTGGTGTTGTTGCTGTTGTTGTTGTTGATGATGCTGTTGTTGTTGATGATGCTGGTGCTGTTGTTGTTGCTGGTGATGCTGCTGCGGGTGGTGGGGGTGCTGCAGGGGCTGCTTCACCAGTCCGCCCACCACCTGAGGTCCGTCGCCGCGGCTGGCGGACAACTCGCCGATGGACCGGGGAAGGCTCTGGTCCAGTCTGGAACAGGGAAGCGTGCGTCAGAATCATGCAGAGTTCCGCGGAGGCGTTCGAGTCCAAGGACGAAGGACGAAGGACGAAGGACGAAGGTACTCACCGAGGCTTGGCGCGCTGCGGGTTGCCTGGCTGCAGCGGCACTTGTCCGTCTTTGCACCCAGCGGGGGAGTACCTGTTGGCAAAGAAACGGCTTGGCGTTAACACGGCGGTCGCAAATCGGAACATGTGGCGCGGAAAATGTTGGCGAACGTGGGTCCGCCGCGGTCGGTGCCCTGCCGGCCTGGCGGCCTGTCACTGGCGGCAGGACCACCAGTATCTCATCTCGTCCCGCCTGGGAGGTCGACGGCCGACGGGGACGCGCCATCAGGAAATCGAACGAAACAGAAAAAGAGCAAAAACGGGGAAAAATGTCTCCCCTGCCGCGGAGGGCCGGGCTGGGCCGGGCTGCGATGCCCTCCGGTGGCGCCTCTAATCTTATTTCCAGCGGCGGGGCTGGCGGGGCGACAACCCGGCCACCACCTCGCGCCTCTGATTCCGAGTGCCGTTTGCGTCGCTCTCTCTCTCTCTCGCGCGCTCATGGGGCGTCCCCTATGGGTGCGAGAGATACAGAGTGTCGAAAACGACTCTCGGAATCAGTCTGCCGTGCTTCGTCGCTCTGTCGCTCTGCCCCATGAGTGCGGAAGAACCAGAGCGTCTGGCTCGTTCCGTCAGGCTCTAATTGGCGCAGGCTTTGTTTGCGACAAGGCGGTGGAGTAGTTCGGCCGCCGCCATGTCGGGGGGCTTTGCTGCCCTGCTCAACTCGAACGGGAAGGGGTGGGGAAGGGCAGGGCAGGACGTGGTGGGTTCGCTCCAGGTTCGGCGGCCATGGAGCACCATGGAGCACGGAGACGGGCCGCGGCCTTCCCCTCGTTTATCAGCTCCACTTGAGCGATCGGGCGGGGTGGGGCGGGGTGGGGCGGGGTGGGGCGGGGTGCGGCGGGGTGGGCGGGGTGCGGCGGGGCACGCCAGAAAAAGGGGGTAGCAATGCAGTCTCACGTCCGATGAAGATAACGACCTCTACGGCCGGAGCGAGCACTCTGCTCTCCTCCCTCTAGGCCGTCGTCGTCTTCCTCCAGGACAATCTCGTCACCGCCCCGCCTCACCCCGCCTCGCCCCACCCTGACCCACCGCACGCGGCCAGATGTCGCAGTGCCGCGAACGGAGGTGAACGCCCCGATGCAGTACTCCGCACGGCCGCCGCCGTCCGTCAAAATAAAAACAAAGAAAAACGCTGCGCGCGTACGACGGCGGGGGCGGGGCTCGAACCCGCGCCACGCCGCTCGCGGCACGGAGCGGCCCTGATTGTGCCGGGCCGCCGGGGCGTATTTGCCCGGCCTTGCCACGGCGGGCTTGGGCGAGGGCTTGGGGCCTGGGGTTCGGGGCACGACGGCAAACAACGGGACACTTTTTATTTTTCCTGCCTCCTTTGCCAATCCGCCATTCTTGTCGATTTGCCCCAGTTTCGGCGGCCGGGCCATGGCCGGGCCGAGGCGTCCCTCGTCACTCGTCGCGGCCGCGGGACAGGCGGGTGGGGCGGGGCGGGGCAGTCCGCTATCAATCAAGGATCGAGGCGGAGCAAGAAAAACAACCCTTCTTCCCGCCACTCGCTCCAAGTTGGCGGCGGTGCGGCTGCTCTTTTGGGTTGTGCGCTTTCGCAGCGCCCACGGAGTGCCTCCGGTTCCGCCCTAATCCAGGCCGGAAGCAGGGGAGGCAAGGGGGGGGGCGCTTTAAATTTTAATAAAAAGCCCCACGCGGCACTTGCAAAGTTTGCCAATTGATGGGGGAGGGGGCGAGTTTGCGGGGGACACTTTACAAATGTCTGCAGACGGATCGGATCAACAGCGAACCAACACGAACTTGGCGGGGGTGGGGGTGGGGGGGATGAACGTGTCGCGCGAGGCCTCGCTCGTGTTGCCTTTCCCGTTTCGCCCGAGAAACACCACGAAAAGTAAATAAACGTGTCGCTTTTCGAATGGCCCGTGGCATAGCAGCCCGGTCGAGCTGCCTGCGAGGGAGCAGGAGCGAGAGAGAGAGAGAGACAGCGCGCGCAAGACAAAGACGCAGAGAGACAGAAAGGGATGGCAAGAGAGATGGGAAGACTGCAAAACCGGGGCAGGGCCGGCAGGGCGCAGACGTGCCTGGTACGACGGGCACGTGCGCACGCACGGACACACACGCGCGCTCACACTCACACCTTCACACACACACACCTTCACACACACACACACACACACACACACACACACACACACACACACACACACACACACACACGGGGAGGGCTGCGCGTTGCCGCGTTGCTACCTCTCTCACTTCGACAACAACACACTACACGGGATTTCATCCACTACACTACAACCTCCGCCACCTCGCCAAGCCCCTTGCCCTCCGCCCCCCCCCCCCCCTCCCCGGGACGAAACGCAAGTCGACAGACGGCGCACGCGCGCAAGTTCTGCCAAAGCTCTCACCACACAAAGTTTTGATCCGTTCCTGCGGCGCCCCCCGACCCCTTGCCGTGGCTGCCGTGGCCCCTGCTGCTCCCCTTAACTCTTATCTCCGCCACCTCGCCGCTGCCTGATTCCGGACAGGAGTTTCGCCGCCGTCTCTCTCGCACCCCGACGGGGCGTCGCGCGGGTGCGAGAGAGACGGAGAGAGCCTGCTCGTAATCCGCGTTCCGCGCCATCAATTCCGCAATTACCCGCCAATCTGGCGGCCCGGCCGAGTTGGCGCAGTTGGCGCGCCAAACAAAAACACAGTGGAGGGACCCGCAGCTCTGTCTCCGTCGCACTGGTGGGGCTCCTGGGTGCGACGCGGCGCGGTGACCATTCCGGGTTGGTAGTCGCGTCCAGGCGGCGTGGGTGGCGCGGCGCCAACCTGCCTGACGTCACCAGCCACCAACCAGCTCATGGCGGGGACGACGAGCAGTGGACTGTTGACGTCACCGCGCGGGGTAGCACGGCCTCCGTGACGTCACCGTATGTCTTTCCTGGCCGCCGCCAACGACCACCGCGTCGTGCTGGGCGGGCCACCAGGGCAGCAGGGCAGGGCGGGCCGCAGAGTACCGCGAACACGTTTTCAAAGGGGTGGAGGGGGAGGGCGTTCGGCAGGCAGGCGAACCGTGCGGCCGAGCGCCGTGCGGGTAGGCCGCGCGACCACGCCGGGGCGCAGCGGGCTGGCCTATCTCACGTTCGCAGGGGCCGTGGCGCGGCGTGGCTCCAACGGCTGCCCCACTGCCCGGCCCTCGGCGCGACCCTTGGCCTGGCCCGCATCGAACGACAAGGCTACTCTGGGTATGAACACACTGAGCCATCCCGGCTTTCCTCCGCCAGTGTTCAGCTGGTGGCTGCGTCCCCTCCCTCCGCCAGTCGGCTGTCGGCGGAGTGCGGCGGAGTGCCCGTCCGCGGCATGCATGTGGGTCGCGTCGAGGGCCGCGTCGAGCACCGCGGACACGCCGCCACACTGCCACACCTCCCTTTTCAAGGCCGTCCCCGCCGCCATCCCCGGCCTCGTCACCAAGGTCAGCCAGCACTACGGCCGGCTGACCTCGCCGCTCGCCCCGGGCCCCACGGCGAGGCCCGCCTAATAAATCGAGTTGAGGGTTTTACACTTGGCCCCGTTGTCGAGAGAGCAGCCCGAGCCGAGCCGGGCCGGGCCGGGTCGGTTATTGAAGGGGTGTCCTTGCTCCTCGCTGCCGCCGTATGACTCGCGAGCCCTTTCTGGCCTGCACAGTGTGGCTGCGCCTGGACGGCCACCGTGCCGCCATCGACCCGGCCAAGGAGGGCTTTGATTTGATAGGGCCACGGCGAAGGGTCTGCGGCCGGGGCGGCCAAACACAGGCTGTCGGTGCGCCCCGTTAGGGCCGGGCCCTGGCCGCGCCACACCGGTGGTTGCCGAGGGCCCGCTAATAAGGGCTGCGGGAAGGGCGGCAGGCCCGGGCCGCTCGCAGGCCATGAGCACCGCACCTGTTCACTATGGCTGCCGCATGAATTTTGAATCGCCCTGCGTGTGTGTGTGAGAGAGAGAGCGAGCATGCCGTCGACGGACGAGCCCGCTGGGGGTCATAACAGGATGGCCGGACACTCAACGCGTCCTCTCCGCACTCGCCGGGTCCCGAGCGCCCTCAACAAGGCTTACACTCTCGCACACTGGGGAAGCCACGGCACGGGTTCGATTCCCCGCGCCGCCCCGCCGTTTTATTCACGACCCTCCGGCCTTCCCGACCGTTCCGGGCTGAGCCGCCACGTAACACGTGGACGACCTCGGCACGGTAAGCCGGAGCGGATTTGTTGCGTGGCGACTGGCGGGGCGCGTCCCGCGCGTCCAGATGTGCCCGTGCCGGCCCTGCCCGGCCCTGCCCGCCAATACCTCTCGCTCGCTCGGACCCCAGCGCCCAGCAGCGCCTGTCCGTCACGTGACCTGACAGCCGCTTCGTCACGAAAAAGGGATTTCTTCACACGTCACTTCCGAAAACGGCGCGTCGTCGTTACGTCTCCTATACATTGTTTGTTCCGACAAACATCACAGCTGGAACCCCTCGAACGGGAAAATTCCGCGCAAAGGTCACGTGGCTCAGCCGAAAACGGCGCACGCGCTCCCGCCGCCCTAAATATAAACCGTCAGGCAGGCCATTTAGGGAGCGAGGGAGCGCCCACAGTGTGCCCACACCCACAGGGCAGCGGCGGCCGCTAAAGGGCGCTCGTCCTGACCGCCACCGCCACCGCCGCCGCCACCGCAACCCCCGCCGCCACCACGCCGCCAAGCTTTACGGCGCCGCCATTACCGCCGGCAGTTTCGTTTCAAGTTGCAGCGCAGCATTATCATTCCCGCTGACACTTTGGGCATGTCCTGCAGCGGAACGCCCCGCCCCGCCCCGCCCCGCCCCGCCCCGCCCCGTGACCCGCTTCGCGCTGATCGAGGCGGGCCGGGCGAGGGGCCGCGCCGCCCCTTCCGCCATGGAGCCGTCCGAGTAATCGCTTCGAGCTGCTGAGCCCTTTCCTTGTAGACGAGCACCGTGCCCCGCCGCGCCCCGCCGTGCAGGATTTGCAGGTTTCACTCACTGCGCCCCGCCCCGCCCCGCCCCGCCTCGAACGGCCAGCGACGCGACACTTTTATCGGGCCGCCAGGAGGGCCAGA